TCGTCATCATCGACGAGGTGCACCAGGCCAACTTCGGCGAAGTGTACGCCGCTTTGCAATCAGCGCCGAGCGCGGTCGTGTACTTCGACTCCGCCCAGGAGATCCGCCACCGACCTGCGACGGAGTTCCTGCGGGAGCCGAGGCCCGACAGAGCAGGTAATTACTACGAGTGGCAGATGGCCTGTCACGGGAAGTCCCGCGTGCGTGCTTGGGACCATGTTCCCGCAGACAGCGTATCGTCCTTGCCAGTCGCACATCGGTTCGGCCCTGCGCCTGCCAAGCTCCTCAGGGCAATCTCAGCTGTCTACGGTCGGCCTGGCCGGGAAATCAAGTGCGCGATCGAATACGCCCGAGAGAGCGGGGACTCGTCCGTGGACTTGTCGATTGCCCCGTACACTGCGATGCGCTTCGTGTTCTACAGGGGCGCGCGATGGATTCCATCGCTATCCCGCGGTGTACTCGCCGACGACGCAGCGGAGGTGGGCCAGGTTGATCGCGCAGCTCCGGGCTCGTCTGCCGCGGGAGCAACGAGGTCACGAACGTCGACGTTGCGCGCCGGAGCTTCCGACGTCATTTTCGCCCAGATGCTGTTCGAGGGCTTGTTCTTCCTGCGCGTGCTGGCGAGAGGTTGAGGGGGGGCCGAAGCTTTCGCGCGCTCAGACCCCACCCCCCTTCCATCCCGTTCTCCCATCCTACACCGACATATAGAACTACACCGCACATTTTTTCCCTGGAGCTGCGTTCGCGCCGCTCGGGGGGAAAATCTGCGTCGCCGAGAGCGGGGAGAAGGGGGTCTGTCGAAGCTGCGCCCGTTGTCGAATGCTTTGGGACCACTGTCAGGCGAGGTGAGCAAGCGCGTTGGCGGGCCGCGCATGTCGCTGGAGCCGAACACGAAGGCGGTCTTGACCATGATCCTTGCGAACGACGTGGGCGTTAATTTCGCCACGTTGGTGCGAGGTGCTCTGGAGGACGAGGAAGTGCGGGCGGCGTTCGGTCTGCCGGATTTCGTGGCTGATGCCCCCAAGCTCTGGCGCGTGATGACGCCCGAGGCTGCCATGGGCTCCGACGGCCTCCTCGCGCAGACCACGCTGTTTCCCAGGGACCTCTCCGCGCATGACCTGCAGGGCCACGCGAAGGAGCCCAACCGACACAACGTGGCCTTCTCCAGGTGCATTCTCTTCGCTTCGTCGCACGAGTGCGAGGAGTGCTTCGACGACCGCGACGCGGCCCCGCACTGGCGGAGGCATCGGGCTTACACCTCGGATGCAGGCGGCGACTTGGACATCGAAAAGATCGACTGCCGCGGGCCCGGCGCGGAGGGGCCTGCGCGGCCGGAGTGGTTCACGTCGCCCGACGGCGCTGCGGGGGCAAGTCAGATGTTCCGCGCCGTCACGACCTTCCTGTCCCCCATCCCGCGCGTGGTCGCGAACCTCCGCAATCGGGCGGCACGCGTGCAGGTGCGCCCGCTGACGGCGCAACCCATATCCATCGCGCAGGCGGTCGGAGACGCCTGCGAGTGGATGATGGGCAGAGGAGCCCAGCCAACGGCCGCTCGTGAGCAAACTTCGCAGGCGATGCCTCTCCAGACTTCCTCGTGGGTGAGCCAGCCCGACATGTACGGTCTCGCGTCGGACCCGACCGCGCTGCACGCAGTTCGAAGCCAACTACTCAAGCACTTGGGGATCGTGGTTCAGAACGGCCGAGCTGCGATTACGGCCATGTACTTGGACGCCACTCGGGCGCGGGACGACGAAGCGGCTCCTCACAGTGCGACAGTGTAGCGCGCGATGGCCGCGGGGCGGGTGATTGCGTTGCACGCGGTCCAGCTCTTCCCCGACGCTTTCGCGGCAGAGTTTCCCTTGCGGGCGACGCTCATGCCCAGGAAGAGGCTGCGCCTGGGCGGCGCTGTGCTGCGAGAGAGCTGGGAGGCTCGCGCTGCTTTGGCATTGGCGTTGGAGCGCCCTGGTGGCGGCGACCCGAGGATGCTCATGTACCAGTTCCTGGGGGATAACAAACAGCGCAACCGGGCATCGGCGGACCCGCCCAACACTTTCCCCTTGCACTTCCGCGACATGCCGATCAACGTAGCTCAGGCTCTGGCCGCGACAATACTTTTTTTCACTGGCGCAGAGATCTCGGAGAAGATGGTGGTCGTCCGCCCGCGAGCACCGACGCCTGAGCACCGTGAGGAGGCCGCGGACGTGAGTCGGGATATCATATACGCAGCGAATGCAATGTCTGGAATTCTTCGCAGGAGGCACGGGCTCCCGGCCGGCGTGCATTTGCCGCGCGCACCCAACTCAGCTGGCGCCGATGCCGCGCGAAAGTGCGTGGAGGAGGCGTTCAACTGCATTCTCTGCTCGAACACGGGCGTGCTGGAATATTTTTCGAGCCAGGGCGGCGAGATCAGGGACTTTTGTCCGCTCTGCGAGACGTGCAACCTGTGCAGTGGCAGCGGCTGCTGGCCCGACGATGCGACGCCGTGCCCTGCGTGCGCAGTCTAGGGGTTGCTCGAGTCTGCCGATGCCTTCGCTTTTCCGTCGTTTCCGAACCTTGACCCCAGCCCCGCCCTCCCCGCTCGTGAAACGCGCGGGGGCGCAGGGACGCCTTGTACAGGGTGTTGCTCGTTTGTAGATACCCCTTGTATATAGCATGCGTTGTTCGGAACTTGCCTTGCATGCGGCTACCTACTGAGTGATGATAGACGACCCCATTGCATAGGGCCACATCTGCTGTGACATAAGCCCTACTACCACATCACAGGTATGCCAGATATCCAGGTTTATCTAGCAACAACTTACCCCAAACACAGAATGCCATGACATTTGTCCCAGATAACACTTATACGAAATAACAGACTTGCCAGATGGCAGATTTGCCAGATAACGGATAGCAGGTTTGGGTCCCGTTCTTGAACCGGGTCACCGGAGTGCAGGCGGGCTGGGGTCTGCTCTCCAGCCCGCTCGGATTGGGCTGGTCACCGTCACTGCAGTAGATTACGGATGGGCTCGGTTCAAAACCATCGCTTGCAAAACATATCATATGATATATGAGGAGTCACCGTCGCAGCGGGCTCAGTTTCCATCTGTCGCGGATTGCATGCGGCATTTATTGTATGTGACATGCTTCGTGCATGGCTTATTAGGTGTGTATGACATGTCTTGCACGTGGCGTCTACTGTACAAAGAGTGGCTTGTATGCGGTCGTCTAGCACGCACTTAACATACATTGTCTCTGGCGCGGCTTGCATGTGACATGGTAATCCCGCGCTCGATGCACCATAATATATTTGAAGGGAATGCGGAAAGGTTTTACTCGGCGAGGTTCAGAGCCCTGCGGAGTGACCTCGGCCCGAGCATTCTGCGGAGCTTGCTGAGCAGCCCAGGGGGGCTCGTCCGCCACCTCGCTCGCCGCCGCCCGCGCCATGGCGCTGTCTCGCCCCGTTGTGCCGTTTGTCGACGGCGCCGCCGGGGAGCCGGCGGGCCGGGCATTGCCTCGATCTAATGTTGTTGCCATGCGAGGGCACGTGGGCCATGATCCGTGATTCGCACGTTATTTTTGTTTTGCTCTGCTGATTGTTTCATGGGGCCTTCCCGAATACTTGTCGCTTTGGCTGTTGAAAGTCTTCCTACTGAAGTCTGACGTCCAGGGCAAATTCTGGCGATCCTTGGGGGGGGGGGAGTTGAGTAACTCAGATGATATATCGTTTCTCGGAGAGTATTTCAAACCGCAGATTTTTGCCCGCTGGCCGCCAGGCCAGGGAGCAGGGAGGGGGTCGTCGCTGCAGCGGCGCGCGATTTTCGCCAGGTGGACTGGCTGAAGTGGGACGACTCGAAGCAGGTGTGGAAGTGCCTCATCTGCCCGCATTGGGACGATAACGGGGCAGACGCCAAGCAGGCGCAGGATTGCCACTGCTGCGCGCGCCGCCGCCCTTCCCCAGTGTTCGATGGTAACGTGCGGAAAGTTTTGCGGAGTCCATCGTGCATGTCGGCACGCGCGCTCTACTCGCCTGCGCTGTCGGATTTACTTAGAATCTGCTGTTTTCAACATTTGTTGTATACGACATGCTGTGTCTGTGACTTGTGTTTAAAACATGATTTGCCTTGTATATGATATGTGATGTGTGCTTATCATAAGCCGCACTCTCATATAGTACGTATTCCAGGTAACGCCTTTGCCAGCCAACAGTTTTGATAGATAACAGATTTGCCGGATAACATGTTTGCTGGAAGACATATTGGCCAGATGGCAGATTTGCCAGATAACGTGCGTGACAATTAACGCAGCTGCCAGATAACAGCTTTGCCAGATAACGGGCTGCGAATGGTTATGTTTGCTAGATGCATGGTTCGCAGGGTATCCCTGGCGGAGGCCCTGGCGAGCCGCAGCCGCGGCCTAGTTAATTTATTTTATATCACTCATCAAAACTGATTAGTTGAAGCCTCCTGGCTTGAGTTAGATATCGTGGTCGCCACATTGTCAGGTTTGCAAGATAACGGGCGTGCCAGATAACAGGTTAGCCAGATAACAGAATTGATACATAACGGATGACATATTTGCACGTTTGCCAGATAGTAGATTTTCCAGATGCGAGATTTGCCAGATAACAGATTTCCAGATGAGAATTTTTCCAGATAGCAGATCTGCCAGATTATCGGTGTCCGTTGCTTTCATCATGTATGCTCGCCCCGTTGTTCCGTTATCCACTTATTCCTTGTGCTTTACATATAAATTCCCCATTGTGTCGTGCACGTATTGGTCGCATATGTCCTGCGGCTTCCTGTCGTTCCTGCGTCATTTCTCGTCAACGTTGATTTGCGATAAGCTTGCTCGGTGATATCTGAACGAGTCTGAGCGGTCATTCCGAGGCCGGCCTCAGGCCCCATGCAGTCTCTCACCCAGACCACGCTCCCGCGATATCCTGAGTAGGAGGCTGTGCGTTTCTGTCATAGGAGCGCGCCTCTCCCGCTGCCCCATCTCCCCCCCCTTCCCCGATGGAGGACGACCCTTGGTGCGAGCACTTCACGAGTCGTGAGCACGCCAGGAAGGTTCGCAACTGGGCGCCGGGGACGACCGTTAACCCGGAGCACCCGGGCGCGGTGCCGCCGCCACCGCGGGCTCTGGGCTGGGGCGCCTGCGCCGCGGCGCCTCCGCCAGCGCCGGCGTGGGGGGCGTGGAGCGTCGCCTCGGAGGCGCCTCCGCCTCCGCCCGCCCGGGGCCCAGCCGCGGGCGCGGCAGTGGTTCCCCCTCCGCCGGCCGCTGGCTCGCAGCGGCCGGCGGACGCGGCGGCGCCCCCGCCTGTGATCGCTCTAACGGACGGATCCACGCAAGATGCGCCCGAGCAGGCCGAGGGCGATCAGGCGGGGCGCGCTCCGTGGGGTGCAGTCCCGGCGGCCTGGGGCGCGCCCGCCGCGGCGCCTCCGCCTGCCTGGGGCCCAGTCGCGGGAGCGGCAGTGGTCCCGCCTCTGACCGACGGCTCCACGCAGGATAGGATCGACGCTCTCGAGCGAGCCGTGAGCGAGCTGCAACAGCAGCTCGCTCGCCTGCAGGCCAGGCTCGAGCAGTGATCTTCCGTCCTGCAGCGCCGCCTCTACTCTCGCCCCGCTATCTTCACGTTTGACAGATGATAGAATTGCCAGGTAACATATTGGCCCGATGCCAGATTTGCCAGATCCCACGCCTGCCAAACAACATATTTGCCAGATAACAGATTTGCCAGATCATACGCCTGACACGCGACACATTTGCAAGATAACATATGTGCTAGATCATAATGATTTCAGACAGCATGACCATCATTCTGGTATGCATTAAATCATATTTGTTGTTGTTCAATGAGAAGTTGCACATGCTCTGCGTTCATTGAATATGTCAAACTCTGTAATTGAAATGGTTTGTATGCGGTCTGTCTGGCACACAGCACAGAGTTTGTATACATGTCATGGTGGAACAGTCTTTGTGCGCATCAGTATGATATGCCGATGCAGACGTTGCCTAATCTACAAACAGAACTCCACTTTTAAGGCGCGCTCAGAATGCGACGCGGTGAGTCGCTCATTGATTTTCCATGACGGTTTCTCTCGTCTCCTCTGCCTGTTCAGTCTTGCGAGTCAGCAGCTCTGCCTATGCCCGTTGTGCCTCCAGCAGCCCAGCCAATGTGACCACGAGGGCAACCCAGTCAACCCACTGTGGTTAGACTGCCTCTGATTGCAGGCCCTCTTTGAAGATATCACTTGGTCACAAGGGTGATCCAGCCAGCCGAAAACGGCTAGGCTGCCCTGTTCACCTGGTGAGTTCTCCGTAACCTCCTCACTGGTTGCACGGGTCGTAGAAGTCGCCGAACCTGCATAGCTGCGTTCTTAAAAGGTGCTGCGCCCCAGGAAACCCTTGTTTGCGAGATAACATGGTTGCCCGATGGAGCTGCGTTCTTAAAAGGTGCGGCGCCCCAGGAAACCCTTGTTTGCTAGATAACATGGTTGCCCGATGGCGGCGTTGTCAGATAACAGACATGCCGCATATCCAGGGTTACCATCGTATACGAGGAAGATCATATACAATGAAGGCCATATTCAAACAATATCATGCACAAGGAATGACATTTACAAGAGACGTCATATACAAAGATTGTCATAGACAAGGAGGATCTCGTCCTCGGTCGTTGTCATCGTCGGGTGCTGGGCGTCAATACGTATTCCTTTATGGTCCAAGAACGGCGGGTGCAATCGGGCCGCGCGTCTTTTCGAGCGCCTTCTCAGAATTGCAGGCCTCATGGGCAGCAAGTTTGTCATGCTGATGATTTCGATGGTATGTTTGCATTCTTGTCTTTCCGTAAATGCGAAGACTGTCTGCGGCAAGCGGCGCGCCGCACCTGCGGTCCAGCAGGCGAAGCGGGACACCCCAAAGAGAATCGCCGCGGACGAGGACGCGCGCAGCCTCACCTCCACCATGCAGGACATGATCCCGCCGTGGAACCTGCAGGAGGCGGCGAAGAACCGCGCGCAGGCACTCGCTGACTGGATGACCTGGTGCGTCCCCTACGTCACGGCCGAGATCCAGACGCACCCGGAGATCTACGGACCACTCGCCAACAGCCCGGGAGAAATCAAGAGGCTTGCGGAAGAGATCTGCGCCCGGGCACATCGCCGCAAGCTGCACGAGGTGGCGCGTGCGCACCGGCGACAGGCGAAGCGGGATCTTGCAGCGCGTGCTGGAAAGGGCAGTGCCGCCCAGGGCACCAGAGCTCATGCATCCTGGCTGACGACCCGCAGCAGTGGGCCAATGTCATGCTGACGAGGACGCACGCAATTTTTGTCCGAATGCCGCTGTGACCTGACCACAGCACCGCACCAGAGGATTTATTGACCAAGCATGGCCGCAAGGATTGCTTGAGTGAGTTTGAGAAAAAAAAACAATCCTCCTCTTCCTCTTCCTCCTCCTCCTCCTCCTCGCGGGGGGGACAGCGACGACAGACGACGACGACGACGACTAGTTAAATAGTCCCTAGCGAAATCGCCATTCCTGGGAACGACGGTTCAACAATGCAGGTTTCGTTGCGCACTTTACTTTTCAAACATGTCTTAAATTTTCTCTATATGATTTTTACTCTCTTGAGCCTCCCTGGGACCACCGTCCTGGATTCCAGCTTTTGCCTGGGACCTCAGAGCGCAACGTAACCGGCGCTGCATGTTGTACCCAGAGGCCCCCTGGCGTCCGCCAGAGGGCGTGTTGGGCACAACATAACCCGCGGTTTGTGTTGTACCCAGCGGCCCCCTGGCGTCGGCCAGAGGGCGTGTCGGGTACAACGTAACTGGCGGGGCATGTTGTACCCAGAGGCCCCCTGGCGGTCGCCAGAGGGCGTGTTGGGTACAGCATAAACCATATTGAATCATCTTGGGCTATATTGAACGATCTTGGAAGCCATTTTTGCCTTTCTGGAACCTTTTTGAAGCCATCTTTGGCAATCTTGGACGCTCTCACGCCTCGCGCGACGCCCTGTCCTTGCTGGTAGACAGATCTACCCCACTTTTGTTCATTCACGAATACAGAAATACCATGTCATAGATGGTTGGCCGCTGGAAAGAAAGCGAGGTAGATTTGTTTACCAGCTGTTTTTGGGCAAAGTTGCATGCATATGTTTTATCGAAGCACTCGGACGATGTGCTTGCCGCGGTGGCCGGCCTGCCTCCTCCCTCCCTCGTCGTCGTCGTCGTGACCATCGTCAGCGCATGTGTTCTTGTCACAATTGATTGGAGAGGCCTTACGGCCGGTGCCGCCGACCCTGGACGTCGACGACGACGACGACGACGACGACGACAGACCTATGTGTCCACAGTGCCCGCTCGTACGCTCTGTCACTTATGCGTGCACGTGCGGCTCGCTGGCGCGCTGCGCCGTCAAGGACGTCAGAGTCATCATCCCCAATTCCCAGTAAGTAGAACGCCACAGTTGTAAATAAAAAGGGGACGCTCTGCCACTTGGAGCCGTCCTGGGGCGATCTCGATGGCTTTTGGAAGCACGTTGGAACTATCTTGAACTATCTTGAGTTATATTGAACGATATTGGAGACCATGTTTGCCTTTCTGGGACCCTCTTGAAGCCATCCTTGGCCATCTTGGACGCTCTAACGCCTTGCGCGTCGCCCTGCCCTCGCTGGTAAACAGATCTACCTTACTTTTGTTCAGTCACGAATGCAGAAATACCATGTCATAGATGGTTGGTCGCTGGAAAGAAAGCGAGGTAGATTTGTTTACCAGCTGTTTTTGGGCAAAGTTGCATGCTGTTTTATCGAAGCACTCGGACGATGTGCTTGCCGCGGTGGCCGGCCTGCCTCCTCCCTCCCTCGTCGTCGTCGTCGTGGTCATCGTCAGCGCATGTGTTCTTGTCGCAATTGATTGGAGAGGCCTTACGGCCGGCGCCGCCGACCCTGGACGTCGACGACGACGACGACGACGACGGCGGCCTATGTGTCCACAGTGCTTGCTCGTACGCTCTGCCACCTATGCGTGCACGCGCGGCTCGCTGGCGTGCTGCGCCGTCAAGGACGTCAGAGTCACCATCCCCAATTCTCAGTAAGTTGAACGCCACAGTTGTAAATAAAAAGAGGACGCTCTGCCACTTGGAGCCGCCCAGGGGCGATCTCGATGGCTTTTGGAAGCACGTTGGAACTATCTTGAACTATCTTGAGTTATATTGAACGATATTGGAGGCCATGTTTGCCTTTCTGGGACCCTCTTGAAACCATCCTTGGCCATCTTGGACGCTCTAACGCCTTGCGCGTCGCCCTGCCCTCGCTGGTAAACAGATCTACCTTACTTTTGTTCATTAACGTATACAGAAATACCATGTCATAGATGGTTGGTCGCTGGAAAGAAAGCGAGGTAGATTTGTTTACCAGCTGTTTTTGGGCAAAGTTGCATGCTGTTGCTTTATCCAAGCACTCGGACGATGTGCTTGCCGCGGTGGCCGGCCTGCCTCCTCCCTCCCTCGTCGTCGTCGTCGTGACCATCGTCAGCGCATGTGTTCTTATCACAATTGATTGGAGAGGCCTTACGGCCGGCGCCGCCGACCCTGGACGTCGACGACGACGACGACGACGACGACGACAACGGCGGCCTATGTGTCCACAGTGCCCGCTCGTACGCTCTGCCACCTATGCGTGCACGTGCGGCTCGCTGGCGTGCTCTGCCGTCAAGGACGTCAGAGTCATCATCCCCAATTCCCAGTAAGTTGAACGCTACAGTTGTAAATAGAAAGGGGACGCTCTGCCACTTGGAGCCGCCCAGGGGCGATCTCGATGGCTTTTGGAAGCACGTTGGAACTATCTTGAACGATCTTGAGTTATATTGAACGATATTGGAGGCCATGTTTGCCTTTCTGGGACCCTCTTGAAGCCATCCTTGGCCATCTTGGACGCTCTAACGCCTTGCGCGTCGCCCTGTCCTCGCTGGTAAACAGATCTACCTTACTTTTGTTCATTCACGAATACAGAAATACCATGTCATAGATGGTTGGTCGCTGGAAAGAAAGCGAGGTAGATTTGTTTACCAGCTGTTTTTGGGCAAAGTTGCATGCTGTTTTATCGAAGCACTCGGACGATGTGCTTGCCGCGGTGGCCGGCCTGCCTCCTCCCTCCCTCATCGTCGTCGTCGTGACCATCGTCAGCGCGTATGTTCTTGTCACAATTGATTGGAGAGGCCTTACGGCCGGTGCCGCCGACCCTGGACGTCGACGACGACGACGACGACGACGACAACGGCGGCCTATGTGTCCACAGTGCCCGCTCGTACGCTCTGCCACCTATGCGTGCACGCGCGGCTCGCTGGCGTGCTGCGCCGTCAAGGACGTCTGAGTCATCATCCCCAATTCCCAGTAAGTTGAACGCCACAATTGTAAATAAAAAGGGGACGCTCTGCCACTTGGAGCCGCCCTGGGGCGATCTTGATGGCTTTTGGAAGCACGTTGGAACTATCTTGAATTATCTTGAGTTTTATTGAACGATCGTGGAGGCCATGTCTGCCTCTCTGGGACCCTCTTGAAGCCATCTTTGGCC